ATGCATTTTATGGCTCATATGAAAGCGGACTTCGATCAGAGGAGATCAGTCATCCTAGCCCAGGTCATGATTCCATAACTGGATCAGTCATCGTTGTGATTATACAAGATAAGAGTGGCATGAGCAAGGCTTGTCCAAGCCACCCAAGAAGAGAAAGACGGGTGAATCTGGACAGTCTAGAGGTTGTGGTCATAATTTCGGGGGCCAAAGGGGTGGAAGAAGGGGCTAACGAGCAAATCTGATAGTAGCAGAGAACAAGGGAGAGACAGGGATGGTCTTTACCGATCAGAATCACAAGTTCCTGGAGATGTTGAAGAGGAAACAAAGAACGGTAGGTGATGTGATTGACGATGCATCCACCCGATCATCATCAAAGAGAAACACTGTTATTTATGTTCAATCAGCAGAATGTACTTGTGATACGCATGCTCTTACATCTATATCCACCATAAGATCACCAAAATGGATAGTAAATTCTGGTGCATCTCGACATGTGGCAGGTGTCGCTAGTGAGTTGACTTCTTATACTCACTTAGCAGTTCCAGTGAGCATTCGGACCTCTGATGGTACAGCACAACCTGTGGTTGATAAGGGTACAATGCGATGTACTAATTCTATGACTATGTCCAGTATTTTACATGCTCTATCCTTTCCAATAAGCATTTCATCTATTAGTGTCATTATACTTCAACTAAAATATGTTGTTTCATTTGATATTTTTAAGGTGAACCTAAAAAAAAGGGATTGGTAGGAGAATTGTGATTGACATATGACGTAGCAGACTCTAGTACTTGCATAGAGGGGATTGATTCAACCTTCAAATCCATGGGAGAGAGTGTCTGAATAGGAGGATCTGGGAGGAGTGTGGAGGATGTGTTCTTGCTACATCACAAATGCATGGGATGAACTTCATTTAGCTATTGAGTCATTTGTATCCGTTTTTATCTGAAAAGATAGATAAACAAAAACTTGTGTGTGATATTTGTGAGTTTGGTAAGTATGTCAAGAGCTCTTATGTTAGTTCTGACAATAGTTTTTTTTTATTTTTGACTTAGTGCATTCAGACATATGGGGATCTTGTTCTACAACTTCGATAAATGGTTACACATATTTTGTAAATTTCATTGAATATTTTTCTCGTGTTACTTAGTTATATCTCATGAAAAATCAAAGTGATGTGTTAGCCCGCTTTAAAGACTTTCACAGAGTAATTCAAACTCAAAACGATGCAATTGTGAACGTATTGAGGTCTGATAATGGGACAAAATATACCAACAAGGCATTTGAAGAATATCTATCAGCCCAAAGGATACAACATCAAACATGTTCATACACATCGGTACAAAACGGAGTAGCAAAGAGGAAGAATCTACACCTATAAATAGCCCGAAGCATGATGATCTAGATGAATGTCCGAAAACACTTGTGGGGGCAAGCTGTTTTGATAGGTGCTCAATTAATCAACAGAATGCCGTCAAAAATTTTATATTGGCAATCTCCTTGTGAGTTGTTCAAACGAAATAAAGGTGGGATCCTCCCATTGAAGGTATTTTCTTGTGTATGTTTTGTGAAGTATAATATACCATCAATAAGGAAGTTATATCCCAGAGCTGTGAAGTCTATTTTCCTGAGTTATTCTGCCACTCAGAAATGGTATGTTTGTTGGAGCCCTATAAAGAAGAGATTATTTGTGAGTATGGATGCAACTTTTAGAGAATTTGAACCATACTACACCTAACCTCAATCTTTGGTGACTCGTCAGATACTAAAGGTACAAGGTGAGAGGAGGAGAGTAATGATGGTGAAAGATTAATGCATGTGGGAACGATGCCTTGATCTATTGTGTGGGAATGATCGACGAAGGAAGAGTAAGAAAATGAGCCCGAAGGTGATGGGATTCAAGCTCAAGGGAGTTGAGGATGGACACAAAAAGGAGGCAAAATAAGGGAAAAGTGTCTATCGTGTCATTTGTGCTAAAAAGTCCTTATTCTGATCTACCCGACTCCTAAGACAACAACACCATCCACCTCGGAATTCAATTATATAGGCGATATGATTATTCTCCCTTCTCCTCCCATTACCACAACTTTAAGGAGAACCTCTCGTAGCAGCGTTGGTTATCCTTAAGATCGTTGTTCTCCTAATCATTTTGGTTTCTCACATGATATTTCTCAGTTGTCCCGTATTCTAACATATCACATTTATACGGAGCATTCATTGTATTTTCTAACACTGTATTCATTCCCAAGTGTTGGCGGGTAGCTAAGAAGAATCCAAAGTAAAAGATTGTCATGCTGGAGAAACTCGGTGCTCTTGATAAGAACAGTATATGCTCACATTGCTACCATTAGAGAAAAAGATAATCGAGTGCAAATGGGTCTTCACAGAGAAGCAGATTTCAAAAGGAAATATTGATCGATATAAAGCACGATTGGTGGCGAAAAGGTATATTCAAACACATGACATCAACTATGATGAGGCATTTGCACCACTGGCAAAGATAAGCACAGACAAAACGCTCGTCTCTGTGGTAGTGAATGGTAGATGGAGGTTGCAGCAACTGGATATGAAAAAAATGTTTCTTCATAAGGATTTCCTAAAAGAGTTGTACATGGAGATGCCCCCAAGCTTCGACATAAACCAAACAATGGACAAAGTATATAGAGTGAGAAAGTTACTGTACGATTTGAAACATTTTCCTCGAGATTGATTTGATAAGTTCAAGAGAGAAATTACAGGCATAGGTTATCAACAGATCGATGTCGACCACACAGTGTTCTTTCAACGACATGAAGATCACATTAATATTCTTGGTGTGTACGTGGATGAATTGATTGTCACTGGTGATGATGAGGGAGAGATCTCTCAGATGAAGACAAGTTTGAGGGAAGTGTTTGGGGTGAAGAAATTGAGACAGCTTTGATACTTTCTTGGGATTGAGGAGCTCATGGAACAAAGGGGATTGTTCTATCTCATAGGAAGTATATGCTAGACTTGCTCACAGAGACAGGCACGTTGAGATGCAAACCTGAAGTTTAACCAATTGATCAGAAGGAAAAGTTGAGCGCAGAGGTGGGAGAGCAAGTTGATCATGAGAGGCACCAGAGGTTAGTAGGTCGTCTCATCTATTGGAGTCACACTCATCCTAACATATCATTTGCAATAAGCGTGGTGAGTTGCTACATGCATGATCCGAGAAGGGGTCAAACGGATGTAGTGTATCAGATTCTAAGATACCTAAAGAGTGCACTAGAGAAAGGTTTGCTTTTCAAAAAATGAACATTTAGGCAATGGGGGCTACTGTGACTCTAGTTGAGCTGAAGACAAGAGGTCCACATCAAGATACCGCATGTTTGTGGGGGAGGCAATTTGGTCTCTTGAAAAAGCAATAAGCAATTGTTAGTTGCGAGGTCCACAATAGAGGATGAGTACAGGGCCATGACCTTAGGAGTTGTTGAGAAGTTATGGCTTAGATCTCTATTGGTAGAGCTCAAAATAAACAAAGGAGCTAAAATGAAGTTGTGGTGAGACAACAAGTCAACAATCAGCATCGTCAGTAACCCGGCGCAGCACGACAGAACCAAGCATGTAAAGATTGATAGGTTATTCATCAAGAAGTTGAATAGCAGACTACAGAAGATAAATCATGTAGCTACTAGAGAACAAGTAGCTGACGACCTCACCAAGTGGCTTAGCTCATTAGATATATCTAGGTTGTGTGACAAGATGGGCTTAGTGAATATCTTTTGTCCATCTAGAGGGGAGTGTTGAGAATTGTAAATAGCTTAGGGTTCTATTTGTAAATAGAAAATATAGATGATGTTTAGGGGTTTATTTGTAAAGAAAGTTGTAAGGCTCAATATAAACCCAAGTCTATAATGAATGAAGGAGATTTTTTTTTTTTGAACAATTATTTCAATTCCTTTCATTACATAGGTAGATTAATACGTATGTAAAAATTAAAGTTTGTGTTAGATCTATAAATACATAGGAATTAAGTCATATGTATGTAAATTTTCCTTAAATTTATTAAAGTGATAAAAAAAAGCAAAAAATTCGGGAGTTTCATTGGTGATATCTAGAAAAGGATAAAAGATGCCATGTAACATTGTAGTATACTCAAGCAATTGTTCCACATGAAATGGTTGTGGTAAAGTAGCAGTTTTCCTCCATACGACAAGGAAAATGAGAGTATGAAGTTTGATCTTGGTTGTTTTTCACATTTTGGTGAATTGGTTTCAAGGTTTGTACATCTTACGGAGCTAATCAAAAATAAAATACTCATTAATCCATGGCCAATACTAAAAATTAAACTCAACAGGAAGAATTAATCTTAAATTAATGAAGAGTAATTACAGCCACGACCTTTAAGATACAAGCCTATTTTCAGAAATGAAATAAATTGTTATATGCAGAGGAGAGAAAAAAGGACAAAAAGTCATTCTTAACATCTATGCATTAGAGCACAGAAATTAAGCGGCAAGTTGTGATGTAAATGCTTAAAAAAGCTAGCATGTGTTCAAATAACAATCATAATTGGGAGGGAATCTTAGCAAAAGGCATTAATAATATTTAGTTAGGTTTTATGGCATTGTTAGAAGAAAGGGCAAGTTGTATCATTCTAAGAAAATGCAAAACCCAAATGAACAAAAGTGTAAACCAAAAAACAATATGGTGCATTTACAAATAATAAAAGAACCAAAGTGCAATTGCCTTTTATTGACCGTTTACATAAAAACTCAAATCTGAAAAAGGAAAATCAGAAAGCTAATAATATTATAAAAATAACAAAATAACTCGTATAAAAAGAAAAAACTCTTGTTCAACAAAAATTTACAGTTGCATCATTCCTAATCATTCTTTCAGCGCACTGCTGAGTGATCATCTTTCCATAATTTTTTCTAAGGAATGGAAATGCAAGAAATAGTAAGTTCGCCAAAAAAAACAAATGCTTCTTGAGGTAAGATTTATCTCAATTGTTCCCCTAAAGTGGCACTTGCCTGAATAAGATTGCACAATAAATGGTTCACTTCCTTAATTGGATTTACCCAATTGTCTTCTAAAAGAGACTCAAGTGACGAGTCTTTGCTGTCAGCGACGTCAACTTCCAACATTTCCACAACAGAACGCCACACTAGAAAAAGAATGATCACCAAAAGTAAGGTGCGAATAAACACACGCTAAAAAAATTACCCAATATGTCCAACTATTTAAAATCATAAATAGAAAAATAAAAGCATCAAAAACCAGAAAAGAAATCAGACAATGAGCAAATATTGCACGGCATTGCCATGGTTAATCTAGACTCCATCTTCCAAGATTTTCCCATAATATTGCACGGCTGGTTAATCTAGACTCCATCTTCCAAGATTTTCCCAATTTAAAATCCAAATAAACTCGGATATAATTCTTGAACATAGCCATATAAAAAAAATCAAAAATAAATAACTTATCTAACAAATCCAAATCAAAATTCTTACCACAGAACGAAGCATTAACATCAATCAAATCCGCAATGACAGCATCGCTCGCACAAATTTCAACACAAATGCAAACTTACTAAACCACACTACAAATCCATACCGTGATCTCAATCACACTTCCGCATTTCTTTCAAACTGAACTGATGAACAGCTGTAATAAAGTTAAAATAGTGAATGACTATCAATAGCACATGGAAGAAAAATATAATTCCAACAAATCAAAACAAGAGAACAAGAAGAAGAAGAAGAAGAACAGACGAAGAGAGTAACAATGGCTTCTACTTATGCACATTACTCAAAAAATCAAACAAACAAATCCGAAATCCCATTCAAATAACCTCCTCAGCATTCAACAAGAAACCAACGAGCAGCCAGAAGAAGAAAAGCAAGACCAACCTTAAGCCGCAAAAGAACTCCGGCGAGCTAGCTAGCAATATCCGGCGAAGAGAACAACGTAGGAGAATAAACTCACAAGCGAGCGGAAGCGGACGCGAGCTAGATTAGGCAACTGAATTGGAATTTATGGCTTCGCGTCCGAATCAGCGTTGCGAGTGGAAGGACGTGGACAGTGATCGCTTTCTCGTAGCGAGCGTGGCGGGAACGCCGTCACGATGCCGGTGGTGGCCCGTGTTCCGCCGGAATAAGTTAAGAATGAGAAAGAGGCGGTTGATGTTGCGTAGAGGGAATGGCTTGTCTAGTTGTCTGCACTCCGGAGGATTGGTTGGGTAGTGCCGCGGGTGAGAGGAAGTGGTGCCGCGGGTTTGTGTTGGTAGGGACTGGGGAAGCCAATCATGTGCGGCTGAAATTGCTTTCAAAGGAAGCTTTGGTCGGACTCAATTTTAAATTATTTTAATTATAGTTAAAATAACTAACTGGCCATTTAAAATATACATGAAGTTACAACTTAAAGTAATAAATTATTTTTTTTCAAAGATTAGAGAAATCATTTTTTTTCCCTAAAACTTAAAGTAAAAATTATTAGGTCTAATTCAATTAAAATAATAAATATATATGAAGTTACAAAATTTTTATGTTTCTCTTAACGGGAGGATGTGATTGCTGCGTGACAATGACGATTGAACGATGGTGGTTTTGGAATGATAATTGGCCAATGATGAACAAGCTATACAGATCAGACGATATTTATCAAGGAACAATCAATGAGCTATAATGATATGGTGATAAAAGATGAGTTAGAGCGGTTTGTGTGAATGAGCTGCTTGATCAAACGATGATGAGCAGGTCATGGTAGTTGAGCAACAATATATGAGCTATGGAAGTTGAACATCATTGATTACACAATGATGAATTGAGTTATGATGGTTGGGCAACGACAAACGAGTTGTAATGATCTAGCGACATTGGTTTGATGACAAAGAACAAGCTGTGATATTTGGGTAATAAAAGTTAAACGAGGACAATTGAGCAATGATAGTTGAAGTTGTCCATGGTGAGCATCAACATTAAATGTCAGATAGGGCTCTAAGTTTTGGTTAAACGAGGACGATTGAGCAATGATAGTTGAACGATATTAGTTGTCCATGGTGATCATCAACATTAAATGTCAGATAGGGCTCTAAGTTTTTTATGTCTCTATGCTCTATATTATTTTAAAGTCTCTTTTTTTTAGAGGATATTGGTATAGTTATTGATGCGTGCAAGAAAATTCACACCGGCAGAGCTACAAATATCGTCTTAGTATGGTACAAAGTTTCAACACTCACTCGAAAGAAAGAAAATAGCAAGTAATGACACCATAAGTTTTTTTACATGGAAAATCAAGAAAGGGAAAAAAACCATGGGGTCTGGCCCAACTGAAGAAATCCACTATAAACTAGATATTACATGCACAATCCCACGTCTCACAGGTGGAAAAGGGATGAACACTCTTTGGAGTTACGTCAATGCACGAATAAACTTGTTTTAAGAAGTGTTTGATGGTCGATGAGGATCGGTGGAGGGCGACAGGTGGTGGTTGACGAAGATTGGTCGTGATCGATGACAGTTAGCAGTGGTCGACGAGGTCAGTGGCGATCGACGAAGGTTGATGGTGGTCGACGACTATCAGCAACAGTTAGCAGTGATGATGTTGGACTTCGGCTCCTTCTCGAAGCTTTAAGCACTTCCTCAAATCTTAAGCTCTCCCCCTCCTCATGAGAGGGGTGAGGCTCTATTTATAATGTTCTATGTGCAATTAATGCAGGAATATGAAACATTATGATCGGATAGTCCGAAGAGCATTCTTCAATTAAACGACGTTTGATGGACATTTGAGAGTCTTAACGACGTTAGAATTAAGCAATATTAGGCTCACTGGATTCGTCTTGTCCAGACACTCAATTCGACTAGACTTGCTAGATTCGACATTTGTTCGACATTTTAAATATGTCTAGAAATCTTCCAATAGTGGTTTAATGACTTGATTTGACTCAGACTAGACTAATTTTGATATCATTGGGTTTGTCTCTTCAAGCTTGTCAGTTTAACTACATGTTTGCTGAAATCATAGCTCTGGATGACTCTTAATTGAAGTTTGAATGTTTCTTGATCAAAAGATTGTCTTGAGATTTGTGTGAGATGATGAAAATTTATTGGTGGCATATCAGTTATAGTTCTTGTTAGTGTTTTTCTTAGTCTATTAGCTAATATATCTAAATACTCCATCATGATGTTAGTTTTATTTATAACTTGCAAAATTAGTAGACCTATCATTTTGTCTTTCACTAAATCTTATGAAGTTTTTAACATCACTGCGGGTATTTGATTTGAGCTTATTAGGACTTCACTTAAAACATTTTTGGTGTATTTAAATTTGTTTCATTTAAATGTTCATTTCAATAAAAAAATTTACTTAAATTATACTTTAGATGGCCTTAAATTTTCTTTGAACTTCTATGCTTGACTATTACATCCAAATTCATGTTCGACCAAGAAAATTTTTTAATGATGAGGCATTCAAGAAGGGATGAACACTCTTTGGAGTTACGTCGGTGCACGAATAAACTTGTTGTAAGAAGTGTTTGATGGTCGATGAGGATCAGTGGTGGGCGACAAGTGGTGGTTGACGGAGATTGGCGGTGATCGATGACAGTTGGCAGTGGTCGACGAGGTCAGTGGCGATCGACGAAGGTTGATGGTGGTCGACGACTATCAGCAACAGTTAACAGTGATGATGTTGGACTTCGGCTCCTTCTTGAAGCTTTAAGCACTTCCTCAAATCTCAAGCTCTCCCCTTCTCATGAGAGGGGTGATGCTCTATTTATAATGTTTTATGCGCAATTAATGCAGGAATATGAAACACTATGATCGGATAGTCCGAAGAGCATTCTTCAATTAAACAACGTTTGATGGACATTTGAGAGTCTTAACGACGTTAGAATTAAGCAATATTAGGCTCACTGGATTCGTCTTGTCCAGACACTCAATTCGACTAGACTTGCTAGATTCGACATTTGTTCGACATTTTAAATATGTCTAGAAATCTTCCAATAGTGGTTTAATGACTTGATTTGACTCAGACTAGACTAATTTTGATATCATTTGGTTTGTCTCTTCAAGCTTGTCAGTTTAACTACATGTTTGCTGAAATCATAGCTCTGGATGACTCTTAATTGAAGTTTGAATGTTTCTTGATCAAAAGATTGTCTTGAGATTTGTGTGAGATGATAAAAATTTATTGGTGGCATATCAGTTATAGTTCTTGTTAGTGTTTTTGTTAGTCTATTAGCTAACATATCTAAATACTCCATCATGATGTTTGTTTTAATTATAACTTGCAAAATTAGTAGACCTATCATGTTGTCTTTCACTAAATCTTATGAAGTTTTTAACATCACTTCGAGTATTTGATTTGAGCTTATTAGGACTTAGACTTAAAACATTTTTGGTGTATTTAAATCTGTTTCATTTAAACGTCCATTTAAATAAAAAATTTACTTAAATTATAGTTTAGATGGCCTTAAATTTTCCTTGAACTTCTTTGCATGACTATTACATCCAAATTCATGATCGACCAAGAAAATTTTTTAATGATGAGGCATTCAATGTTATTTCTAGGAGTAACAAATCGCGTCTTTTAAAAATATATAGAATCCATGAAATTTCTAAAAAATAAAATTAGAGTCTTAAAAAATTATGACACAAAAAAACGATTATGATCAGAGTCATTGACCCGATATTTGGGTTAGTATATTAGCTCCATCAAGTGATTTGGTTAATAAACTTCACTATCAAACAATCACAACTACAACCCATATATTCTCCAATGATTTTCACAAGTATGCCTGACACGACACAAAACCTTTTGTAAGCTACAACACATAATTCTAGTCCATCGACGGCCAAAACAACTGGTATCATGTGATGAATTATAAAAAGCTTATCTTGAATTGTTTATGGGAAGGTAAACAAATTAGATTACATGATAATGCCTCATTCTCACTTGAAGTCATGAGTCCATAGCAATTACACAGTTTGATATCCACATCAAAATCATGATTTTCTTTGTTGATGGACATATCAGTAACTCAAAATTATGAGAATTCTATGAAATTGTCACCATAAGTTCTAGAACTATTATAATAAAACAATACTTGATTCAATCCTACAATCACTCTTGCTCATGCTGTAAAGTGGTCATAAAATTCCTTTTCGACTTGCTAAAAAGCAAATAAATGTAAAACTATACAGATATCCATATTTAAAAAAAGTTAGAAATTGTAAAGTTAGTCAAAGATGTGTTACAAAATAACATAACAAAGTTAAAAACAAGTTATCACCAACTTTGTATGGCAGAAGATGATATATTCGAGCTCGAGCTAAGTTAAGCACTCGCCATATTTCAAGCCACTTTGAACATCATATTCAAGCTCCCCCTATGCCAGTTTTATTTTGATAAATTTTATATGATATTCTTATATATAGTATGAATTTGGCAGAACATATCAAACTTCTCCAGCAAACTTTACATTTACTTCAAACAAATGTCTTATTTCTTAAACCATCTAAACTTGTTTTTGCCAGACATCAATTGGAATACCCGGACCACATAATTTTAGAAAAAAAGCATAGAAGTTGATCCCACAGAAATCAAAGCAGTTAAAAATGGTTAAGATGTTTCTTGGAGTTGACAGTGTACTACAGAAAGTTTCTTCAGAATTATGCTTCAATTACTGCACCACTAACCTCATTATTAGCCAAAAATCAGTTTTGATAGACAAATGTAGCTTAGATAGCATTTGGAGCCCTAAAGCAAGCTATGTTATCCTTACCAGTACTTTTCCTGATTTTTCTTGTCATATTAAACCATGAAATATCTATTTTTTAAAATATTTTAATTTTGGGCTTATGATTTAGTTGTTAAAGATTCTTACATGAAGACCCAACAATATGATTGCCTATATTGGCAAAAAAAGACGTTTTGTATACACTGGCACAGTCATTTGTGATTGAAATTCATTCAAAGAAATTTTTCTATCCGCCGTGCCACTTTAGCTTTAATTTACGCGACATTGCCCAACATTTTGGCATTTATTTTGCACAAACAAGCCGACAACAAAAGCTCCATTTTTTGTTTAATTGAATGCAATACACTCCATTTTACAAATAGTAGGCAATCTAATTTCAATTGTCATTTGCACCATGTCATTTAACTTTGCTGAACATCATTGCTATTGCAAAGCACATACAATATTCTTCACATAAACACGATCATATTTATCCTACCCTATATCTTCTACATATTCATAGATCATACTTCATCATATCCTCATAAAAAATAAAAATAAAACTAAAAAAAGGGATTAGAAATCTCACAAAGGCAACAGATATTGGAACTCAAAGTCACAAGGCAACACATCCACAATATCTGATATATTCCCATTAATCTGCCCTTTAACACACTCAGTAATAGATTTCCTCAAAGCCCCAGATGTGGGTAACTGACTGCAAATACACTCCAACATTGACTGCAAATCCTCACACATATCAGACATGTTTGAAAATAAGAGCTTTGGAATCTTTATCCTTCTCGTGGCGGTCACCGCTATCGAAGCCTGTAAGTATTCGACTTTCGATTTCTCTAGTTCAGCTGAAACACCATCTGATGTGTAAATCTTCACCTGAACAGAAAAAAATCAGAACTAATTAATATATTTTTCCGCATAAAAGTGCTAAATCAGTCTCCAGACTATCTTAATGGGAGCTAAAGTAGCCTTCACAGTGGACAATATCAGCCCATATTAAAAAAGTTTGGGAACTGCGTTGGCATTTTTATAAATTTTGGGACTAAAATGACACCCTGCAAAGAATCAGGAATTGATTTTTAACAATTTCTCGATAGTGATTAGTGATACTAACAGCTGGAGAAGATCTGTTTCCAAAACATAAAGCAAATTGGACATTTGGTTCTGACTGCTCCAAACCAGACATAATTCTGATTTTATCTTCTTTAACATCTCTATCACTCTTTAAGTGAGTCTGTAAGGAAAGCTAAAGACTATTTTTGACTGCAAATATATATAATTAAATGACATAAACAGTAATTTCATGTAAAAGACTCACTTCTTTTGTGTTTGATGGCTGCCTTAGGATAAAATGCTCAATTGCTAAGGCATTTAACTTATTGCCTCCTATGTTAAGTACGGCCTGCATTAAAATAAGCGCATGTAGATGATACAAAGTAAACATTTAGAGGTGCAAATGAGCAGAGTTTGAGCGATCTCTAGGTCTGTTCGTAGTTGGTCCATTCGAAAATTTGTTTATTCGAAGTTAGCTGTGTTCAAGATTGTTTGTGTTCAATTTGTTTTAACTTTGTATGTTCATGTGTGGTTTGCGTTCAGTCATTTTTAGCTCATTGTTTTAAAGAAAATTAAATTTTAATTTTCTTTAAAGAAATCAAATAAATATATGAAAAATTAAAAACAATATCACAAACTAATGATTTCCATAATTAAAAAAACATAACGTTAATAATAAATATCATTTATGTAATTATTTTGAGGTAAAATGAACTGAACATTAGTCTGTTTATGCTCAACTTGTGAATAAATCGAGCTCAAAATGTCTGTTAATATTCAACCTGCCTACTTAAAGAATGATTCAAACACCAATATTTTAACAAATGAAACACGAGTTGCTTGCGAATGATGGACTTCTTAGACGGCCCTGTAAATATTTAAAATTCTTGAGGAAGAAGGTGGCTATTCATTACCTTATTTCTTAAGCCAAGAATTTTTTCAGGATTTGAAGACAAGCCATGCTCCAGGAAACCCTAACAACTCGCAACAGATTAGATTAGAAGCAATCAAATGCAATGAAATCTTGAATCATGTAAGAAAATAAAATAAAATAAATAAATAAAAACAAATAAATAGGTTGTGATCATACAGTACATGCATGACACAAATATTATGAATATTGATCCAGAAAGCCAGCTTCTGCTGGTGAGTCAGTGATTTCAGGTTCACCTCATGCAAATTGCTCATCAGATTCCTTAAATATGAAGACATAAAATCAGAAATAAATAAGGATTTTCAATAACTTACATTCAATCTTCAATAAGTAGAAGGAATAAGATTTCAAATTTATAATGTCATGGAACATGGCAATAAAAATATAGAGACAATCACATACATAGTACTCGAAACAATGCTATTTACAAACATAGCGCCCGCCCTCTTTCATCCATTTTTCAAATTCTCTCCCGAACAACAATACTCACAATAAAACCCCAACCCATATTTTTCATTTTAATCAAATCCCCAAAAGTTTGATCGTGGCACGCATAAATACATTGGTTCGGGCGTTCCAAAAATCACCCGAGTGTTACTTCTATAAATAACAATGTTTCAAGTGCTATATATATATATTTGTAATTATCCCTAAAATCTTATGTTTTCTAATCATACTCAATCACATATGAATCTTTAATTGTCTCACTAACCTTAATTTGTTTAGCAGGGGGAGACAATTAGAGATGCCTTTGAGCTCCATAAAACTTGAAGTGAACACAACAAGGTTCTTATAAGGACCTATATCTCTCACCAAAGAATCCTCCATCTGAAATATTCCATATGGATCCTTTTGCACTGTCTCTCTGTTTAAATTGAAGCTCCTGTCCATTCTAAAGCTCGTTGTACGCAAAGTCGGGCTGCTGGATTTTGATATGTTGTTCAACTTTTCTATCTCCATTGTGCGAGATTTTCTCATCAGTCTCAAGAAAATGCATATAAGACATTTCAAGATTTTCTCTGATAAAATGTTGGGCTGCCAATTCTGCCCATTATTGTCCAATGGAGTTGTGCTCAGAGTTGGTTCATGAAGCAATTTTTGTAAAATGATAACGTTAGAATTTGATTGCTGGAAGAGGAGATAACAGTAATTACTTCACGAGTAATTGGGTAAAAAGTAAAGGGGCATTTACACACAAACCACCCAATTCTTATGTATTTACATATATAACACTTACACCTTACTGCTTATTGTTTACATTAATAGCATCCACATCTTTCATGTTGCATAAAAAATATTATTATTTTAACTTTTAAAAAGTAAAATACATCTTTACATGCATAAATAAGGTGGAATATCGTAAAATTGAAGGTTAGTTGCTAGATATGTAATTGCATAGAAATTGAAAAGTGGTGTGTTCATAAATCTTTCAAAAGTAAAAGAAAGACTACATTTTCAATTTACCCATGTAGGGCTTGCTTGGCATTCTCAGAAAGAAAAGGTATGAAACTTCTTTGATTAACAATGCTTACATAACATTTAATGCTGATTCAAGAGCGAGAGAACCTATGATTGCTTAAACAATTCAAATATAAACGAGTAAAAGCCCAAATAGTCCATCGATAATTAAGAAGTGTCTAATTTAGTCCACAGTTTTAAAATGCTCCAATTTATCCTGGACTATTAAAAGACGATCCAAATTAATCCTAAATCATAATTTTTGTTAAATTAAAAAGTTCTTTTCATGTTTTGAAATGGAAATCCGTCTATTTGCAAAATTCACAAATTAAACTCAACAAGGGTAATTCTATCAATCAAATATTTTTTTCATTCACATACCTAATATTTTAAACGTAAAATAAATTTATTAATTAGTTTTTTAAGTTAATTTTACCTATTTTAAAACGCATTCTCTAATAAATAATATTAAAATAAAAAATTCAATTAAAATCGAGTAATTCATATAATTTTAGATTGAGTGTGCTCTCATTACATAATTCTTGATTTATTTAAAATTTTTTATATGAAACAAAGTGATGTGAAGAGATTTAGGATCATGCAAACCGCCATTAAATTTAACGTAAAATATGATTTAGGATCAATTTGGAGCACATTTTAATAGTCGAGACTAAATTGATACATTCTAAAACTCTGTGACTAAATTAGACACTTCTTAATAGTCGGTGGACTATTTTGGACTTTTACTCAAATATAATCTTTCCATTTGACAAATTGAAATGGACTAGTAACCATGATTAATTGGTAACAAACTTATACAAGATTATAGAAAACAAAGTAACTTAGGGTTTGTTTGGAGCAGCTATAGTTGTTTAAAAAGGTCATTGTAAAATTGTTGCCAGAAAAACATTTTTTTTAATTATTGTCAATGGTATAGATATATATATATATTTTTTATTTTGAAAAAATGAGAACTATTTTCTTACAGCAACCATATTTTAACAGATTTGATTCTCAAAAACAACTTTCCACAAACTTTCTTAAAAGGGGCAAAAAATCAGTGGCGAAATAGATATGTGGCAACAGTCTTAAAGGCCTTTGTAATTGCAAAAAGTAAAATATAGAAACAATTTTTTTATTTAAAAAACAACAAAATAGTACTCACTCTAGGAATTGGATGTCTTGGAGGCCTCTTTTGTGAGTCAATTATCCTACTTTTATTTGGAATTCTCTCTTGATTATTCACCATTCTTTGCCTTTCTTTCCTGCTAGCTGTCTCTAACCTCTCGCCATCGCTAGCAAAATCGTGGTTAGTGTAAGCTCCTTTTATCGCTTGATTTATAAAGAACATAGCTTTACTTTCATATCTCGCCGTCTCCTCAAACACATTAGTTCTTTGTATTTTTGTTGGAGAAGCCGATGGGCTATTAGAAGATTCAATCAAAGTTGTAATTTTTGGCTTGTTTAAATTGAACATTTTTGAATCTTGAATCAGTAATTCCTCTTTACTGCCAATACTAAGCTGAATCTTGCTTATTTCAGCTTCTAAGCGAGCTATCTCTTCTTCAAGCATGATAAGTTCTGCTAAGAGCTCCTTTGCCTAAAGACGAGTACTGTAAACAGGTTCATGTGTGGCACCATTTTTCAAAGTGATAAAAGCTGAACTCATAAGTCTCAGTAAAAATTTAAAAAAATATATACATATTGTTCAAATAAGACAATAAGGACTACATAAAATAGAGAAATAAATGAAATATAGGGATAATTAGATAACATTTGGCTTCCTAAAACTCAATAAGAACTCACCTTTTTGGGCAGAAAGTCTGGAACATGGAGGGCAGGTGGAATGCAATTTGAAAGTAAAGCAAGTTGCAAAATTTCATGCACTTTTTCCTCATCACTAAGCATTTTTTGAAGCAATCTTACCTGTCAGTGAATAATATGCTTATAATCAAGAATAAAAGAAAATCATTTCTCATTTTGCAAAGATGATAAAAAAGGAAATATTTCATGAATATATCTATCAGAAGACTTATCCCCCTTTTTTCAAGTTTAAGTATAAAAGCTTAAGTACAAGGATAATGAAAATAAAAAAATAATAATAATTAAAAAAATAACAACAATGTAAGATCTTAATACTTATCTCTCATCCGTACAATTGCAAGAAGAGAAATGTTTTTTTTCGGTGGGGGTCAAGATCCAACACCAAAATCTTACAATAATTAGCAACTAAGATGGCAGGAACCCCATTAAAAATGTATTTTTTGTGGCTTAATTTGGACATATCACAATTTTATAAATAAGCAAGGCTCACTACTTTTTTTTTCTGGAAATTTGAGCATATTTAACTGCAAAATCACACAAACATTCATACATGCTATGCTTTGAACAAATGATCTTAATCATAGATGTCAGAAGAAAGCTGAAACTCCCATGTATGCCTACTTGGCTAAACCCCAAGACAATTTGACCAAAGTAACATAATCCCAGCATGAATTAAACAAAATTAAGTAGAAATGAAAAGAAAAAAAGGTTAATGATACCTCTTCTTCAAGCTCTTGCTTTCTCTGCTTCCCACCTCCTGCCTTCATTCTCTGTAAGAAAAAATCTCCTTACTCCTAACCTGACAAAAATCACAACTTTTACCATTTTCTAAAGAACAGAGAGAGAGAGAGAGAGGAGAGAGAGAGAGAGAGAGGAAAAGAAAGATACTTGGAATGAAAAAAAGACTGATATCGGAGATGGCGGTCACGGAGGGAAGCGACAGAGAGTGAAGAAGAGCAATAAGAAGAAGGAATGTTGCGAATGGAGTTGGATTTGGAAGCTTTGAGGAGAAGGGAGGGAAGGTGAGGGGGCGCCATCGGAGAAGAAAAAGTCATTTTCTGGAGGGCGGGAGGTCGGCAAACCGCCATGGAGTTCGGGTGGAGGAGGGGAGGAGGTTAACCGGTCATTCATTCCTTAGCTTTGAATCCCAGCTTCACTTTGTCATTTTTTTTAATAGGGGTTTGGCGAAGAGAAGCGCAGACAAGATGGTAATCGAGATAGCTTTATATTCATTCGATTTTTTTCCTTTTTTGTTTTTTTTAATCCTAGGAGGTGTTTGGTGACATTTAGTCATGAATTTTATTTAAATCCAATCAAATAAAAAATAAATCCAACACTCCCTTTAATTAAAGTTTCGTGTTACTCTTAATTTATGCCTAAATCTATATTTATTAAAGGTGTGTTTGGGGCAACTTGTGCGTTTCAGGATAATCACCTTATCTTGATCCAGAGTCTGCGTTTAGTGTAAAAATGAAACCGCATTTTCGAATAAACAGACAAAACGTGCGTTCCAAACGATATCACGACGTTTTCAAAAACACCCACGCACTTATAAAATGCCTCAATTGGGCCCTAAATCTTACTATAGGCTGGATTTACAGGACGTCGCTCGTGATATCTACAGACAATTTGATAAATCTGATTTCACTAAATTAGATGAACTTTGTTCACCAAACACGGCCTTAGATTCATTCGATTTGTTTAAAGTTAAGGGAATTTACATACATACTATCGAATGCCTATATATTTAATTACATATTGAAATACCTATACTTTATTTTCTTACATTTATACTACCCAATATTTAATATCTCATAAAAAAACATCACCACTTTAACTTAAATAAAAAAAAATTGAAGTACATATTTAAATAAAAATTGAAGTTTAAATGTTGGATACGTAAATACATAAGAATAGAGTTGTATGCTTCTAAATTACAAATATAATCTATGATTAACTAATTAAATTTATATTATATTATTGCAAAAATCTAAAAAAAAATCACCATATATTATGTTTAATTTGTTCAAAAAATTAGGAATTTTATATTTTTTATCTCATCATAATTTTTTTTTAAATTAAAAACCGAAAATAAAATGGAAATAAAAATATTATGCTCTCAATTAATTTAATTCTTTAGTGAATTTGATTTTATAATTATAATGATATTTATTTTTAGCTTAATTTATTTAGTGAGATCAAAATCGGTCATGAAATTAAATTTTGAATATTAAAAATTTAAATATAAATAATCGAGTTGTTATTGTTGATTTTTTTAGGATGTAGGGTTACACATCGTTGGTAAAAGAAGAGGATCCATACAACATGTAAGAGGCCTGCATAAGATGGGTAAAAGAAGAGAACGATATATCTTCTAGCTTGAACCCTATTTTCCTTTAATGAATACTTCTTCCTGATGAGAGGGGAGAGAGCAAGAGAGAGGGAGTGGAGAGAGAGAACGAGAGAGGGGCGGAGGGAGAGAGCGAGAGAAGTCGAATGAGAGCCTAAGTGGGGGGACAAATCTATTTATATAACACGTAGATTGTACCTTTTTATGTAGAAGAAATGAGATCTAATAATTAAATGTATAGTATGGAGATTGTTCATTATGTCTTCACAAAAAGACTATGAGGTGAATGTAGCACAAACTTATTAATAATCATGAGCATTCACCAGGCCTTTGACGTTTATCATGCTGTGGTCGTTTGCCAATTCTATGGATCATTAGTTGAGGGAGCCAATTTAATTGGTTAGAGGAGCATGTCTCGAATACTGAAAAGACGACATAATGCACTTCGACAATTGAAGTTGTACAGATTGATCACTTCGGCAGGTTGATCCGACAAGTTCATTTGATGAGTCAAACTAACAAGCTAGTTTCACTAGACAGTCATTACGGGCCAACAACGTGAAAGGATGTGAGGATCACACCTGAAGAGTGCTATGGGGACAATGCGATCCCTCAGAGGCCCATTAGTCACAAATTGGGCTACAAAAAGCTAACACATCACTTTGTTGGTCAACGATTGCCGATTATTCATATACATTTTAGTTTCCCAATTTTCTTGTTCTTTTGATACGCACTTGTAAGAAGAATAATGAATGTTGTTGTCAGTTTATACATTCATTTCTGTTATGGCTTCAATTTCATTAGTGACTAACCATCACACTATTAGAAATTGGATTATGGTAAGAGTGTCATATGCTTATATGAAAGTCATCATCCTATAAAAATAAAAGAAGAAACATATACGATCTTATAACTTACGATAGAGGTAGTTATACAATATTTTCAAATGTTAACTCCGTGTTGGAGCTTACAAGAGCATTGTGTAAATGTTGTGGGCTCTAAGCAAAAGAATGCTCGTCCTTGCTGCCACTTTGAGCACCTTTCATTTCAAGATTTCTCTTGATTGAAAAACTTACTATGGAGACTGCAACAGTTGGGGAGAAAGCTTAGTGGCATCTTCATAAAAGAAGAAAGGACAATCAATCCAAGGAAAGAGATTTGAAAAAATGAGTCAAATCATCTGATGATCAAGAACTCATTGAGAAAATGGCTTCTTTTGGAGAAAAAATTCCGTCTGGACAGCTAGCCACCGAGCACTACTTCGCCATACACCTCAGCGGCGGGCGACGTGGTGGTCGATAGTTGACCATTTGGATGTAATATTTTTTCCTTTTTTTTTTGAGAGTCCTACGGAGAAAGCTTACATCTCGGGTCCCATTTCAGTGGAGGCAAAGGATATTGCTCCAGGCACTGCGGTAGCAGAAACCATCGTTTAATACTTTTACATAGGGGCATGTCCCCGTAAATTTGAATGATGCAACGATAGATCAACCTATTGATTTGTTCATGGGCTCGAAGAATTTAGCCTTATAACGCTTCCCGAACTCAGTTCAGGTGGTAAAGACATTATGTTTCAGAGTTATGGGTTTGAGGGAATAATGAAATTCTCTGTTATCTTTTTGGTCTCTTGTTTAAGCACGGGTGTATCTGTAGACCAACAAACTAACCAAGCATTTGCTTTGACAATCTTCTTGGGAAAGGGGATAAGTATTTCGGGAGAATGTGCATAAGAAAAAGAGGCCCGTGAACAATTTGATGTCAATCCACCTTTAGAAAGTAATGTATCTTTCCTCAATAAGGCCGAGCCTTCATTCCTCGCTGGAAGTGCAAGTCAAGAAGAGTATTCAAGGTTTTGAGCATGGCAACATCGATACATAGGCGGCTCTCGGTCCGTTTGATTCGGCGATAGGAGTGCGGTGCGAGGGGTGGCCACGAATCACAGTCGTTTGGGATGGAGCACGACGGAACGCCGTCTTGGCTAAATGTGGGCCGGATCGAATCATGTGGCCCGCGTTCGAGCGATGGTTTATTGCCAAGGTTACCCTTTCGTCACTCCTGCCCTAATTTCCTTTCCCTTTGCCCTCACGCACCTCTACTGTTCGACGAAGTCATCCCTCCTTATCGGTCCTTTACTGTTCGGTGAAGCCGTCACTCGTCGCTCCTACCTCCCGGATTCCATCCCAAACTGCCAGGTATCATCTCCTCTCCCCAATCTCGCGATTCACATGTTGCTTAATAATATTGAATATATTTTTTTCCGCAACTCTCCACTCTTTTAATCTTTGCCCTTCAGTAGAAGATATAGTTTCTCACTTACAAAATCCATCTTTCATTTATAAATCCATAATTCCTTGAAGTTGACCATGCCATCACCAAGGAAGCATCATTTGATTTAGCTATTAAGAAAAAATGACTGACACACATTAATTGAGAGACTTTAGCTCCTCAATTATTAAATGACATATTAGATTCCAGTTCTATGGAGTAAAGTTCAATTGTCTAGGTGAGTTGAAGTAGTAGATCATGAAGATCAAATAAATGAAGGCAAATATTTAATTACAAAAGCCATAACAAAAGCCCAAGAAAGTACCCAAGCAAGAGCTCCTTTAATTCTTATCACAAAAAGTTCAATCATGAAAAAATAATTAAATTTTAGACTTATTTCTCAAATTTCAAAATTAGCATATAAAAGTTTGAATTTTCAAAATTGGAGGCATTATGGGCAAGTCATTAAAAAGATTAATTTAGACACACGTTTCTATTTTTCTTTTTAAATTTGCTCAATTTATAAATAGAGCTGGTATATAATAAAATTTTTTAAGTGAAGAATTGTTTTTTGGTGCATGGTGGCTCTCAAGTTTTCCTTTTCTTGATGAGATTAGGTCTTTATTATTTTTCTATTTTTAATTTTTGTTCAGTATTATTTTAAATCCTATTTTCAATCTTATTAATATACACTCAATGTTTTTAAAATCATATAATATTATCTACTACCTAACCTATCCCTTACATCCACTCCAATTTTTTTCTTAAAGCTCTCAACCAAGTTAGACAAGACTTGAACTTAATCTCGTTATCTATCGCTTGACATCCATATAAACTTCTCTAAACTTAATCATCTATTCCAAATCATAACTGCATGTCCTAAGGCAACCATACATAAATACTTATAGCCTATTAACCTACCAAAATTAAATTTCTCAAAGTAATCTTTGACATCAGCCCAAACTAGCCAACTTTGACTAATCTTGTTATTCATACCACTATGGCCCTTCTAATCCCAATCATTCCACCACAAAATTAAAAAAAATTTCGTAAAAAGTACAATAATGATCCAAAGCCTTTAATAATCATAAATCTCATAAAAAATGTCACCTACCACTATCCCATAATACCACGTAATTTCATAAGCCAACATGCCACCTAAAATACCAACTTGTGAGAGGCCTTTAAAGCATAAAAATTGTACTTGAGTTGGTGGCAATGAACTTGAATGTGTAATGATTTGACCCATCATTGAACAAATTATGTAATATAAATGTAATCCTTTTGACTATTTTATCAAATATATTCATTATCTCCTGCTTGAACTCGCTCTAGAACTTTTACTAATTGTGTAAAATCTAAATCTCCTCTACTTATTTATAACATAATGCTCTAATATATACAAATAAATAAATAAAATTGTCCTTAAAGTTGCACATTAACATGCAATTAATGTACTCTTTTGTATCCAATGATAATTAGTGAATTCTTGTAGAACTTGAGAACCTCAACATCCCCAAAATCTTATATAACATCACTAAGAGAGCAAGGACTTACAACTTCGAAATATACACATACCACATCTCTGCTAAAGTCTTAGATACACTATTATATATTCTAATATGAATAGCGTCAAGATTTATATCCCTACACATACTATCAACACATATAAACTTATACCTATTGCCATTTTATAATTAAAAAATAAGACATACTAAAATACATGAAAAGATGATGATGATTCAAACCAACACTCATTACTTCTTTTATCCTCTTCTCTTAAAAATCAAATGCTTATTGCTCCCCCCCTTCTTAAAAACCATATTATCTCTTTTGATGTGTCATTTGATCTTACAACAAAAATGTCTCATTTATGCTAACATAATTGTGTACACACACACATACAAAGACTTTCTTTTTATCATTATTCTTCAGGTTAAAAACTATCTTTCACACTGCTTTTCTTTATTAATAACTTGAAGCTTCCATATAATATTATATCACAAAGATAATTATATGCCAGTTAAAGTGCACATTAATGATAAATTTGTTACAATGAGGGCTCCAAATTACTTGAATGTAATCGCAAAACTAGGCTTAAGAATGAAGCTCCAAAATCAATGATAAAATAAAGGAAAAATTTTCTGTTCATACTAAGACTCCTACCATAACTCTACATGCGGATTCTCAGTGTGTGCTATATCAGACCCACCTAAAAAATATTAAAATGGAACCGCAGACTCCATAATAACCAAGAAATAACCTTAACAGTAAGTTTCTCCTCAATAACCCAAAAATAACACCGCAGAGATTAATTATAATTTATTTCTGGGTTATTTCGAGGTTATTGAATTAGAATATATGATTTCTCTTCAATGACCCAGAAATAACCTATAAAAAACATCTATGGTGTTATTTCAGGACAATTGAAGTGGAACTACAGAAATTATTTCTGGGTTATTAAAGTAAAATATATAAATTCTTCAATAACCCATAAACAACCTCAACAGGTCTACTTCAATAACCTTAAAATAACATTCGCGATGTAGCACAATTATCGACATGTTATTGGAGTCAGACCGTAGAACTACGTTAGGAGTCCAGACAGAATTTTTCTTAAAATAAATAGCGAGCGAGACAATATAATTATTTAAACACTAAAATTTATGTAATTCAATTTAAACAATTAAATATAATGATAATATATATATATAAATTGAAGAACAGTGCCGCTAGTCGTGACTTTTTGATAGGTGGTGCAACCGAGCGCAAGTCTCCTAAAGTCAGGGGCTCGATCCCTTTTTTAAAGGCTCATTTGACAATAGAAATTCAATATAAAAGAAGGAAAAAGATAAAGTTGCTTAAGTTTATTGTTTAGCTGAATATAATTAAACACCAACACATATTTCGAACAATAAACTTCCTTAAAATTACAAACCTGAAACTTAACCTACCGTTAATTTGGTGAAATAATTACAAATTGATTTTCGGATCCAATTTCATGCAATAGTACAAAACAAAAATTCAAATAAAAATATAATCAATCATGCATATAAATGTTCTAATAACAGCAAAAAGAAAATCATTTAACACAAAAATATAAAGCAGCAAATTTGTATCTTTACTGAAAAAAAATATTGATGTTTACTTGTATCTCTAGTCTCGATGGTCCATCTCCTATGCGAGATCGTCATCACTTGATGAAGTCGGAAAGCATGCGGTCACATTCACCTAAGATATGGAGGCCCGTCTCTTTGTTGAGCTACTTTAGATGGACTCCGGACGCAATATTTTTTCAAAGTCTAGAGTCTAAGATGATGAAGAGGGTGGAAGCAAGGGTGGAGATCAGGGTGGTGAAGAGACTAGAGGCCAGTGCGGCAAAGGCTCTGGAGCAGGTGTGACGCGAGTCACATCAACATGGCAAGCAACTTATAGTAGGGTT